GTGACTTTGAATCCAGCATAGAGCCTTTTTGTCTCTCCGAAAATTCCCCTATTTGCCCAGATGAGAGGTCCTCAATAAAGCCTTTTTAATAAGGATGCGGGCGAGTTACTGCTGGTAATCGCGCCGACATGCAGAATACTCATCAGTGGCACTTTAACTATGCCAAAGGAAAAAAAGAAAGAGTGAATTGAGCGTCTGTTGAACGTCTTTGTTTAACTGCTGTGTGTAAAGCAATTCAAAAACATCAGCTTACAGCGCCATCAAATCATCACTTGATATTGTGTATCTACAATATGAATCGATTTGAGAGCCACCGCAAGATATATGGGAAAGAGTGATAGATATAATCTACAGACCAAAACCCCCTTTTCACATGAAGTGGTGCAAAACAAAGGCATACTGTATGTAGCTTCTTGACCAAAAAGCCTCACTTCCTCTATTGTATAATCACAGTGCTCTGTGTGAATGTGTAAAACATGCAACAACGAAAAAAAAAAGGCTCGATTCCTCCATCGCTGATGTTGTAAAATTGAAGTAGGCGGTCAGGGAAGCAGGGACAGTGAACAGGATATCAGCCTTGGCAATGGACAGCATCAATTCGGGAAGTTCTGCATGGTGGCTGTCTGTATATTTTCATACCCAAGTACACAACCTGCTCGCTGCATGGCCTGGGAATTGGACCGGCTGACCAGACTTCTCTAACGCACCAGACCAGAAGCCTCCCAGATTTTTCTGGAAGCATGTAGCAAGAAAGCCACGGTTCACACACATTCTGCAGAGGCCGACGTACTGTAATGCTGACGTTGGGACGAGTTAAGCATCTTGAATGGCGCGGGTCAAGACAATGAGCATGTAAAAAATCGGTAAAGTGCTGGTGGGTTGCTGTTGCGAAGCCAGGCCAAGAACATTTCTACCCAGCCCACACAGAGAGCAAGAAAGACATCCTGTTCTTTCTACTTATGAGATACACACACACGGTCTTTAAACCGTCTGACGGTGAAGGTTTTCGACTCACTATTGTGTGTGTGTGTGTGTTCTTGCATGTGGCTTTCACAATGATGAAAATCTGCTCCTTTGACCTAAAAGGCTGTGTGTTCTTCACGGCAGATAGCTAGCAGCCATGGCTGCAGGCCCGTTGGCATCTTCCACACAGACACAATCCCCTCTCCTTCCCCTCCCCCCATCCTCTCTTCCACGGGCTCCTTTCATGCATCCGGGCTGATCCCTATCGACTAACCTCATTCCCCACGGGGAACTGGCTCAACACAGCCTTTGAAGGGAGCAGGACCTAGCCTGAGACCTTCGGAAGGTGGGGGGACACAACAAGCAGCAGAGGAAAGCAGCAAAACAACAAAACAACAGCAAGTATGCATCTTGGTGCAGGTACCTTTGACGGCTGTCGGGACATCATCAAAAGGCCCAGATAGAGCAGGGCAGGGCTGTGTTTACCACACAGCTACTTCTGAAGGCCTCTAGGCCTCACACGCAGTTTCTGATTGGAGCTGATGTGATATGCCACAGATATGGAATCTCAAAGCCACTTGATGGAATGATCACGTGGATAAGGTGCTCAGAAGTCTGGGACTGGGCAGGGCAGGCATCCATTTCTGCACAAAGGCTGTGGTGTCTATTCTAAGGCAGTTCCTCTTGTGCACTTTGAGAGGACCTTGACTGACAACTGGTTGAGAGCAAAATCTCCGAAGACAAACTGTTTTCAGTTGACAGTTGAAGTCAGTGACATAACTGGGTGGCCAAGGTGTGGGCAGGAGTGGCCAGTGCCACCTTGGAATGAACCACAGCCACCCCAGTTCTGGAAAGTGAGACATCATTGATAAAGCATCAATTATGCTTCATGGTGAAAATCTGCCCTCAGGGTAAATATCGATCAGTTATGAGAGCCTGATGACGCTGCAATGAATATCTTGCTGTGATACACTAATTTGTTCAGCAAACATGCGAGTGAATGTGCGCTGGGTCCCTTTAGAGGTGCTACTCTGTGAGCTACATTGTGAAGTAGGCTATTGATGAGAAATGATGGACAGACTTATGTTATGTTCAGAGAAAAAACAAGGCATCATTTTTTATGGCATTTTAATACAGTAACACTGTATTATTTTATATTTGTCTTTTCTTAACGGTGTGTCACCCCAATTAATACTCTGGGTCTTATCTGGCTGCCCCATTGTAAAATATCTGGCTACGCTCCTGGTTCTGGGTTGAGTGGACCTACAGCGGACCATCGCTAACACTTTGCTGTATGGTCCTGTTCATAAGGCTACGTGACACCTACGAAAGCTCATAACGACAGCTGACATAACCCTACATAAATGTTTATAAATACTTTTTCCAATAGGCATCATTTACTAAGACGGTTACACTTGCCAATTTTGATCAAAGAAGCTTTTATGACAGATGACACCTATTGCAATAAGCATTTATAAACATTTATGTAGGGTTATGCCAGCTGTTGTGATGAGCTTTTGTAGGTGTCATGTAGCCTTATGAACAGAACCCTCAGAATACATTAGACTTGAATAGAAAAGAAGTAAAAAAAAAACACATTTGCAGATTTATCTGTGTGGCTTTGATCTCCTCCAGCTGAACCGAACTCCACTGGCTGACCCAGCCCCAGCATAACCGAAACTGGCCTGGCTGGGAACGGGGCCAGGACGTTGTGCGCGAGGGCTGTCTGACACCAGGGTCAGTGTGTAATTTCGAGTGCAGGACAGTTTTAGTGTCTTCTTCACTCTGGAGATGTTATCTTCAGGCTCACAAGCAGCAAACAAAGGACATCTTCGTGCCAAGCCTCAAGTTTCCCAAAAAAGAACACCCTGTCATCTATCCCTGCACAGTGGCAAAGCACCTGTCTGCCACAAGGAGAGGCTTACGAGATAGAAAATTTATGGAAAACAGTCATAAATGCAGGAACGGTTACATAATAGACTGGAAAGTGATGGTAAGAGGTTGTAGGAGGGGGAAAAGCAGAAAAAGTATAACAAATTTTATTAAAATTCCTGAAAGAAACAGAAATATAATGCCATAATGCCCAAACCTGTCATCTGATTCAAGTTAGACCAATCAGGAAGTTGTTTCATCTAATGACTCTCACCACAAAGTGTAAACGAACATGTCTGCCATACGTAAATCCTACACTCCTCATGCCAAATGACAATGTGTAGTTACAACAAAAGACCTCTTTCTTCAGTCTAGCACATGTACATGTGCATATGAGGGTATTTGTGTGTGTGTGTGTGTGCCCTTGCACTTGGAGGTCACACAGAGATAAGATCTGTCCACTTGATCTACTGGACTATGTGTTCTTCACCGAGGGAAATCTTTTAGGAATGCATCCTCTCCATACTGTGCTTTCTCACAGGAGGAAAACACTCTTTGAGACATACTTGCTGGGAACTCATCATGAGATTCTTTCAGTTTTGTGGTCCTTAATGTCTGACCATCATGTCTGCCGTTTGTCCCACCCTGCTCAGTGAAGGAGGCCACAATATGAAAATGAAAACCACAACATAGGACTTTCCATCCTAACACTAGAATTTAATGTGCTTTTGTCACGTTATGTAGTATTTTATATCTCTCAGCCACACTGGTTTGACAGAATTCATATCCTTTTTATGTTTTCATTCGTCTGTGCTCTCTCACTACAATACCCAACATGCATTACACAAATACATCATACAATCATACAATGTCTGTGGTGTCAATCAGTCTAGCTACTATACTATATCGCTGTTGTTGGAAGAAAACCTTGTTCATATATTTTTGACATTTTCAGTTTTTGACACAATGTGAAAATGCTTGTTGCTCTTTATATTGTATGTAAATTTCATGATGAATGGACTAAAAGAAATGACCCAAAATGACTTGGAAACAAATCTGGTTCCATTAACTTACATTAAAAGCAAAGTAGGTTTTTCCCTTCTCCTGTAAGGTTATCATACTGGAGATACAAGGTTTTATTCCCACAACAGTGATATGTAACTATAGGCTAATAAATACAACCAAGATATCATCGGTGTAAATCTTCCCTTGGCTGTCCAGTGAAAGCAGCTATTCTGTCTTTATTCAGTACAAAACAGAATGCAAAGACATTTTATTTTCTATTTCAGCCACCTACTTTGCTAACTTTAGCATTTAGCTTTCAGTAGTCTGCTTTTACTAGCTAACAAAGAAAAAAAATTCCAAAATCCACCTCAAAAAGATTATTTTTTGGTAGATTTTCCAATAGTCCCTCACACCTTCAAGATTTATCATCATAAGGGGACTGTCCAGGTCTTCAAACTCGAAGACTACTGTTGCACTACTTAATGTTCACAATAGTTATAGCAATGGCTACATTTCTTATGGTGGCCAAAATGTCACCTTTGTAAAACAGGGGCCGGATTCACGAAAGTGTCTTAAGCAAGAAAATCTTCTTAAATGTTTGTTCCTTCTTAACTTCATTCTTCTGAAAAAAGTTATGATTAAATTATTATACTTCAAATACCTTCTTAAGAATTCTCCTATTTTCTTTTCTTAACTAGAATAATTAAGAACAAGTGGTATTCTTAAAAAAATATTATGTTCTTAAATGTTTTCTTAACCTTACACACACTTGCCTTAGGCTGTAAGAGTTGCCATAAGAACCTTTGCAAGTTTTTTCTTAAGAAGGTTTTCGTGAATCAGGCCCCAGATATGCAATGTCAGCACTCACAGAGGAATAGCCTACCAATGACCCACTTTGGACAACATGGACAAATATAAGAGGATAAAGAAGATACCAATAAATTAAAATCATCAAATTTGTCAGAACATCATTTTCAGAATTGACATATTTGGGCCATTTTCAACACTGTTTTCCATTGAATACCAAAACGTTTATTTGCTCAATGTGCCATAACTAACAAGGAAGAGAGTCACAAATGTGCCAACACAAAGAGTCTTTTAAAGACTGATGCTTTCTGGAGGAGGAGCTTGGGAAGCTGTGGTGGGCAGGTGGTCCCTACCTTAGTGACAGCGGGGTATCCTGCTGCCACTTCAGCAGGGCAGTAGAGCCTTTCCTCATTGGATGCCTCCACTGAAGTGGCCCATTGGTCCAGGAACCCACTTGGGGTGTACAGCCCACAGTCCCTCACACTGGTCTCCCGCTCAAAGTCCTCACACACACCATCGCCATCGTAGTAGTAGCACATGCTGGGCTCGTCTGGGTGAAGGTGAGTAAAAGAGAGAAAGAGATAAAAAGAGAAAGAGGGAGTCATACGCATACCGCTCAAACAATAAATATGATAAGATGATATTTCGGTGGATATCGGTATCAGGCTCTGGATTGTATAGAGCTTCACTGGTCAGGACTCCCACAGGACCACCACAGAGCAGGTACTATTTGGGTGGTGGATCATTCTCAGCACTGCAGTAACACTGACTGTCCACTCTATTAGACACTTCTACACTGTTGGTCTACCTTGTAGATGTAAAGTCAGAGACGATAGCTCATCTGCTGCTGCACAGTTTGTGTTGGTCATCCTCTAGTCCTTCATCAGTGGTCACAGGATGCTGCTCACTGGACGCTGTTGTCTGGATATTTTTGGTTCTCAGTCCAGCAGTGACACTAAGGTGTTTAAAAACTCCAGCAGCACTGCTGTGTCTGATCCACTTGCACCATCACCACACACACTAACACACCACCACCACATCAGTGTCACTGCAGTACTGAGAATGATCCACCACCCAGATAATACCTGCTCTGTGGTGGTCCAGCAGGGCATGAGCATGAAAGCCTAGACAGACTTTTAGATGCTCATCTTCAATTAAAAATAGCTAATTTTAAAGCTTAGAAGTTTATAAAGTTTATCTGTCTTTTGAGAAATATCACTAAAGTTCCGCCTTTTCTGTCTCAGAGTGATGCAGAGAAACTTGTTCACGCATTTGTTAAAGCAGAGTTGATCACTGTAATGATCTTCTTACTGGACTTTCTAAGAAAACAGTACATCCTTAACAATTCATACAAAATGCAGCAGCATCCTAACAAAAACAAAACAGAGAGATCACATCACTCCCATTTTAAAAGAGCTGCACTGGCTGCCTGTATCATTCAGAATAGATTTTAAAGTTCTGCTACTAATTATTAAGGCTCTAAATGACCTTCAAACACCTGCTTACTTCACAGAGTGTCTGTGTCTGTTTCCGTAAAAAAATGGAAACATAGAGAGACTCGTTAAGTTATTCTGCTTCTAAAAAATGCATCTATTTAACTTATCATTTAATTAAAACTCTACGTCTCATAGTATTTATCTTTAATTTAATCTGCCATTTTTTATATGATTCTGAATTCATACTTATAATTTCTTGCATTACTGTTATCACCTGTCTGTAAAGCACTTTGAGCTGCCACCGGCATGAAACATGCTATATAAATAAAAAAAATATTATTATTATTATTATTATTATTATTAAACCAAAAACAACAAAGAAAGAAAAAAAAAGTGATATTGTGCCATTTCTAATGTTTGTCCATGCGAAAACGTAAGTAAACTGAACATTAATTTCAGTTAAGTCCTTACTTTTGGGAGAAACAGGCAAAAAAAGAAAAAGAAGTCAATGCTAATTGGTGTTCATAGGCTTTCATTACATGTTAGCTACATTACCCTCGTAGGTCCAGTGCAAAACTAAAGAAGCAAAGTTCAGACACTGGACATGCCTTGTCTGATGGACTGCTTTTGGATTATGGGGATAGATTTTGTACGTCTTGCCAAATTATTGCTTTAAAAAATAATCTCTGCTAGACGCCAACGTGGATATAAAACTCCAAAGCTGGCTAAAAACTGGCCTCTGAGTTTCCTCTTCACGCTCCATCAGGACGAGGCAGTAACAGGAGTTTGAACCCGCTGACACGCTGGGCGGGGAAAAAAAAAGAGGGGAAAAAAAGGTGAGGAATTCTCCTGCCAGTAGACAGCAGTAGGTGCTTTTAAAGAGAAACAATGCCTTTCTGGTGTCATCCCTCTTTTTTCTCCCATCCATCTCCCCAGGAGAGAGGCGAAACAAGTATGTCCGGTCAGTGCTTGTGAGTGTGTATGGACATGTATTTCAGTTTACTATAGCTTTATATCAGTATACCAGTCTATAGCAAACATTTTAGTGGAGGTAACAGCAAAGTGCATAACCGTTATTCAATTAATTCATACATCATCACTGTCAGAAGCCAACTTAGGATCTCCAGATCTCCAGGGTAACTTTACAAGAGAAGGGAAAAAAGCATTAAATTTGACTGGAAGTTAAGGAACAAGATCTTTTTTGAAGCAATTTTGGACGATTTCTCGATTTCTGTTGGTATCTCTATTATGTCTGGTTCCATTGACTTACATTAGAAGTAAAGTAGGTTTTTTCCTTCTCCTGTAAAGTTCTGATAACAGTGCTATATATATATATATATATATATATATATATATATATATATATATATATATATATATATATATATATATATATATATATATATATCACTGCTGTCAGGACAAAACCCTGTATCTTCATTTTTGTCATTTTTCAGTTTTTGACATAATTTGAAAATGCCTGTTGTTCTTTACATTATGGGTGAAATTAATGATGAATAGACCAAAAGAAATGACCCAAAATTACTCTGAAAAAAGTCTGGTTCCATTGACTTACATTAGAAGTAAAGTAGGTTTTTTCCCTCTCCTGTAAAGTCACCATTTTGGAGACACAAGATTTTGTTCCAGCAATATATATATATATATATATACGCTTGAAATTCCCTGCATGTCTTATTCCAGGCAAATAAAATAGACTGTGATTCTGATTTAGATTCCGACAACAAAAATGAAACAAATGCACAGAGAAAAAGGAGAAAAGGTGCGAAAAGAGAGCCAGAGGAAAAGGATCTGATGAATTTGTCAGATTAAGATCTATCGTCCTTATTTAGAGAGAAACAGAGACGGAGAGAGAGAGTGAGAGAGACAGACAGAGACAAACACAAGGAGAGAGAGAAAGAGAGAGAGGGATGGCTTTTCCAGACGCTGTAGCTGGAGACCGCTCTCACTCCTTCAGTCTCCATCTTCTTCCTGCTTCCTTCTCCATCTGTCTGTCCCTGCATCTCTTCTTTCTTTACTCTCTGTCTCTCTCTCTCTCTCTCTCTCTGTTCTCCCCCTTTCCCCACCACTCACACTCACATTCTCTCCATCCTCTCCCTTGCTTTCTCAATTCTTCACTTTATCCTTCCTCCATTACATCCCCATCACCTCTTTTTTCTTTCCATCCTCTTTCTCATGCTCATTCTGCTTCTGGCCTTCCATTTCTCCCTTTTCTTGCTTGTCTTTTTCTTGCTCTCTCTCTCTCTCTATCTCTCTCTTTCTCTCTCTCTCTCATTCTCCCCCTTTCTCTCTGTTCTTGTTTTCTTATCTCTCACACGGTATGTGTCTTTTTCTTCTTTCTCTTCTCTCTCTCTTCCAGTCTCTCTCTCTCTCTCTCTTTCGCTCTCTCTCTTGTAGTCTCTTTCTCTCTTTCACTCTCTTTTTCTCTCCGTCTCTGTCTCTCCTTTTTTCTCCGTCTTTCAATCTCTCTCTTTCCCTCTCTCCTCCCTCCCTTTCAGTCTCTCTCTCTCCCTTTCCTTCTCTTTCTTTCTCTTTCTCTTTTGCTCTCTTCCTCTCTTTCTCTCCCTCTCTGTCTCTCCCTTTTTCTCTCTTTTCTTCTCTCTCTTTCTCTCCCCCCTCTTTCAGTCTCTCTCTCTATCTTTCTTTCTCTTTCTTTCTCTCTCTCTCTTGCTCTATCTCTATCTTTCACTCTCTCCCTCTCTGTCTCTCCCTTTTTCTCTCTCTTTCCCTCTCTCTCTCTCTCTCTCTCTCTCTCTCCCTCAGACTCAGGGGTTCCAGTAAGGGGGACGGAGATGGGCTGTGCCAAGTTGGCCTCTACGCAAATTCCAGTGCTCCCCTCAGCCTAGCTCTGCTGATGTTGAAACGAGGGGCTGCTGAAGGGGGCACTCACACACACACACACACACACACACACACACACACACACACTCTGCTCATAGCAGTTACGCTGAAAACACACTCACACATACTGGTCAACACGGTCCTTCTCCACCTCTCTCATCCTCTCTTAAGCACGAAGGTGTCAGAAGCACAAGCTCTGCTGTGTATCTAAAAGCCTGCACTGTAACTGTCATCTGCGTTCAGCTCACATCAATCTCCTCTTTGCACATCAATGAAATCATTTAGTGCACTGAATTATGATTCAGTATGATTCAATGCTCAAGTTTAAAGGTAAATTCTACAGAATTTTCAAAGTTTCTGCACAAGTAAATGGCTCCAAAATAAACAAAGTCATTCAGTTTTTGGTGCTCCATCCTACACTGTTAGAAATAAAGATGCTGTGCAGGAACATTTTTCATTCATTAAGGTATAAACAATGAAAATGTTCCCTCAGAGGTACAACAGTGGTTTTAATGTCCAATTGTGCACCTTAAATAAGTTCTTCCAGGTGAAAAGTTTGTATTTGTATCTTTTCATAACTTAATCTTTTAAAACAGAACAATAAAATAAGCCTGGAGACGAGACGGGGTGTGTGGAGTCAGTACAACTTAGAAAATATAATTTCAATGGATTATGGTACAGTTATGTTCCCTGACTAAAGGTACTGAGATGCACCCTTGAGAGTACCGAGAGGAGGACTGCCCCAGTGACAGTTTAGTACCTTTATTTCTGAGATTGTATGATCAAATTCAAATCATGGTAAAATATCTCTTGTTCTTCTTACAAACACAACTGTAGCATCGTTTGAAAGTTTATCATCTCTACTTTCAGTTGAATTTCTCCATTTGTTTCAATGAGATACCAGTAAGCAAAAAAGTCAATGCAAATAGCAAACATGCTTTTGTTACCGCTGACTTCTAAGGGTTAAGATAAGCTGAAGAGTCTAAAAAAAACCCATCCACCTGGTCAGGCCGTCAGACGTATGGTCAGAAAGACACAGACAGACACACAGATGATTTATCCATTTCTGCATCCAATTTCCATGCAAAAACTACAAATATTTCAAGCCGCCACGCAGATGTGACTTCTTCCCCTAAAAGTAGGCGGACAGTGGAAAAAATCTGCCTGCTGCCATCCCAGCTTTGACAGACGTTCCGATAGGTGCACAACAACATGGAGAAGTGGTCTGTGAGACTCTACGTAAGACTGTCGTAAAGGTGACATATGGCCAGAGACAGAAGGTCAAGTCCATTTTAGTTACTTAACAGTTTTTCTAGTGTTCGCGCTTGTTGTGGAATGAAACTGCTAGCAGTGTCCTCGAGGCAAACACCTTGAAACAGGCCGCCGCTTCAGATCCCGCCTGGTGCGACTCTTTTCATGTGATGTTTGCGCTGAAAACGTGTTAATATCATGTTCCCAAGGGGTCCTTTCCATATGTGGGCACCGCAGACTTGACGTGACATAAGTTTCCTCAGGCCAAAACAAAAGGGGAGCTAGAGCGGAAAGCCCTCGTTTATGCATAAAGCAGAAAGCCGGACTAGGTGCCAAGGCATCCGTTCTGAATTTGTTGGCCTGTTCTTTTGAATAAAATGTCTTCCAGACTTCACAGGGATGTCACACTGCTTGCGACAAACAACGGGCCTTGCGACGATTTCTTGGGGAAAATAACTCATTTTCATAGCGTGTTTGTGATTTTATAAAGATATTAAGCAGACGGACATTTTTGAACTGGAAGTACAAAAATGTAACTCTTGTAAAGTGATATATAAACAGCTGCCAGATGATTTTAAAGCCTTTAAGGACTCACCTATGCAGTTGAAGAAAGGCTCTTTCTTGCATCGACTGGAGCAGCCATCACCATTCATGGAGTTCATATCATCACACTGCTCACCTTCAGACCTGGAAGTGAGCATAGCATTATATTGGTCAAGATGTCCTGTTCAAGGCATGTGATATCATAAGACTAGAACCATACCCTTAGCAAGTATGTAAAGCAAACACGTAATCCTGGCCTCCAAGCAAGCAATTGTATCATCCATTTGTACATACTCAAGGTTACTGTGACTGTTATAAACTTCCATACTCTAGGGGGCGACAGTTATGCCTCTTTCTGTAATTACCTGCAATTATTTCAATCACCACAGCAGCAGTAAACATGTTGAGTGTGCTGGCCTACTTGTTGCATAAAAAGGAAAATGAACAGAGCATGTGGGGGATGCAACTCCTATTGTGCCCTCTTGCTGCAGTTATCAGAATGCATTGCAGAATAAAGTCACATGAATTTCTGAAAGACTTCGTATTTGCTTCCTTGTGTGTGGCCTAAAGATCCATAGTCGCCTTTGTCTAAGCATAAAATTTTGCTGTAACCATTTCTGTCCGCTCAGTCAATACGAAGATTAGTCTTGTGAACACACCTCTGGATGATTCCATCTCCGCAGTATGGTGCTCCGAGACGGTGAGTGAGTGGAGGGGACGGTTCACTCTCACCCAATCTGGACAGGGTCTGGACCTGGTACGTGTACACCACCCCACGTTGCACATTCCTAAACAACAATGCAAAAAATACACAGCGCTGTAACACTTCCTAGAATCCCAAACCTGGACCGTCTTCAAGAAGGTTGCATTGGTTACCCCTCAAAGGAAAGCTATGTACTCAAAGGCCCAATCTCATTTCACCTCTTGTCCCTACTACTTAGCCCTAACCCCTTCTTTTTGCACGTTCATGTCAGGGGTAGGGTGTCCCGATTTTTGTTGAGATAGGGCGAAGTGTTAGGGCTACATGGCTGTCCAAACTGAGGTTTTTCAGAGGCACACTCCAAACGGAGTGTTATGAGAAAAAAAAACAGCAAGATGGCTGAACAAGCAAACAAAGAAACCCACAAATGTAAGAATTTTATCCATTAAAAAAAATTACGATAACTTTTGTATTATCTTAGCTTAATGTCGTTTCAATATATTATGGTCATTTTTTCATAATAAGCTTAAAAAATCGCTAGTAGTATGATAATAGCTTGGTAGGTAGCTAGCTAATTTTCCCATCCCACCTTAAATGGTGCAGCATTTCTGGCACCATTTAAGGTGGTATGGGAAAGTTAGACCAAGAAGCTGGTGAACAGCTGACTTCAGCTTCATATCACTGAAGAATTAATGGTGGGTGATAATAAATAATCGTCCCTCTTTGAAGTCATATGATGCCCTAAATGTAACTAAAGCCCAGCAGTGATGAGCTGAACTTTACCCTCCTCTGCTGTCACTGCAGACTGGCAGGGTCGCCTACAGAGCAGCACTAGTAGCTGTTAATGAAGTGATGCTCTTTTTTATTTGAGGGTCCCATTTCGTAGAGAAGATTTCAACCACTACCCTTGTTCTTCAGTTCCAAGGGGCAAGGTGACATTCGAAAACAAGTTATAGGGGTAAAAATAAGAAATGGGTTTGAGCCTAAATGTCCACATATAACCACTAGTTCTCATTTACACTCCAAACCTACACTTAAATGTCTCTGCCTCACATAGCCTTATTAAAAAAAAAATTGGCTGGATTTCAGGTGGGCTTTTTACCTTCCTCTTTCAAAAAATATGATCTCAAAATCCCATTACAGGCCTGAATTAGACAAGCCTGTAATTCTCTAATCTTAGGTCAGCTTTCTAGTAAACCTTCATAATTCGAAGCAACCCAAGGCAATTAGCTGGCTGATTAGCAACAGATTCCACCTTTTCCTGTTTAGACCTCCTTTTGCTAGCCATCACTCGCGGACTACAATGAGTCATTACCGTTGCCATGCATATGTATTTCAGCATCGGCCTCTTGAAGCTTATCTGCAATCAGTTATGCTCACTGATACAAAACGGCATGCATCAGAGGGAGAGTAGGGAAATGATCCAAGCTCTGCACTTAATACTGCAGGCACTGTGGCTCTTTCAATTCTGCTACAGTAATAGTGATTAAGAATGAAATGGGGGAAGTTCATTGTACTCTGAACTCAGTCACCTTCAGTAGCAGTTCTGGAGACTGATAGTCAAAAGTGCTTTGTTAAAAAGTGAGTTCAAAGCTTATTATTGTTTTGTACAAGGTGCCATTTATCTCGTTTTGTTCCTGGCTTGTGTTCATCGTTTGCTGAAGGAAGATTTAGACTTGCTTTTTGTATTGGAGTTGTTTGTTGAAGAATCTAGTAACTGATTTCAGTTGGGAGTTTAGGTTGTTTGGAACCAGATTTTCTTCGTTAGTTTTTGCTGTGGCCAATTCATGCCCACTATCTAGGTCTCTCCCTTGGTCATCATGCTACCAAGCTGGGAGGGCGAAGGCTAGCACAAGACATATGAAGCACCACAGTATCTTTCTGAACTGCTGCTAAATGCAATGTCATTGGACAGCTCAATACACTTGGGGGAACATGGTTACTGCCAGTGATGTCAACTAATACATGTCCGCAGTGGCAAGCGTCATGCTGGGTGATGGGGCATCTTGGCTGTGGAAGCTGTGGCATCACCATAGACTGAATTTGCTATGCCTCAGTGATAGGGCCAATATTGTTGTACCTCTTAGGAGCCTAACCACAGTACATGTATTCGATTTGTGTTTCAGAAAATTCAACTTGCAATATCAAACTTAACTTCCATCTTAAGGATCAATCTGCTTGTTGGTTTTCTAGTGTTAGCTAAGTAGCTACAGTCTTCTTTTATGTTTAATTTTGTCACTTTAAAATGACAAGTTCTGACACTTCTTTCCCAAAACTTAAACTGTTGTTTATATTGTATTTTCGGGTGTGAGTGCCTGTTAGCTAGCTAATTTTGCTAACACAAGCTAACACTCAAAATTAAGATAGTGAACTAGCTCAGATAGCCAATAAACCCAGTGAAACCTTCAGCATAGGATCTTTTTGTAAGGTAGACATTACCTAAATCGGGGTTACACTGCATGACATTACCCCAATTTTAGCCCCGATTCTCAGTCTGGGCCGGGTCTGCGCTAGTCGGCTTTAATTTGCAGATTTTTGGGTCAGTCGGAGTCGACAGTTGGAGAGAGAATCAAGTAGTGTGTGAGGGGCGCCGACTCAGATTTTTGGCCTCCCGGTCGTGATTTAGACCAGTCGAAGTTTATCAAACATGATTGATTCTTTCGACCCAACTTTGAACGTAATCCAGCATAAATTGATCAACGACTCAATCTGAACTTCTGCAACAGCCAATGAAAACTGAGAGCAGAAAAGAAGAAAATACAGCAAGTAATCAAAGAAAAATGGTAAAAAAAAGTCTCTCACATGTGGAGCGAAGCTTTTTAGAGAGCTGAGTTTAAGGCACCAGCACAATCGAGTTTATGTACATTTAAAACTCTAAAAATTAAAAACTGATCATTTTTTTAAATCCATGATCCTCACTTAAACGTGTTTATCTGCTGCTTCTTTACTGTGTCAGTGCAATGTTTGTTTACTTGCATCTCCTAGTAATGGGAGAATGGAAGAGTTTGTGAGAGTTTGTGGGAGTTCAGTGAGTTCTGTTCGGTTCAGCAGCAGCTTAAAAGTTGAGTAGTGTGTGTTCCCTTATCGTTTAGTGTGTGATAATATTTCAGTCGCCCCAAAAATCTGCAAAAACAGTCGGTAGTGTGAGATGCCCTGTCTTTTTATAATCTGTTAAGACCTGTAGTCGTGTTGCGTACCCAAGGCCCACTTTGTTTCTTTTTATTGACTGGCCTCTTTATTACGATTTTACCTGTTTAAGGGAATTATTACTATAGTAGCTCTACTCTTACTTAATCAAGGAACTTGCATAGTATTTATCTCTTAGTATATATGATTGGGATAACATTCTTCCAACCAGAGCCCTTACAAAGCAAGATGTTGGAGTGGTGTTCTTTTACACCCCCTGCAGTCGTGTGGTATTGTAACCGATATTGGTTGGGATCGCTTGGGAAGAGTTGGGACTCGAACAAAGGTTCGGGATGTTGGGGTGGGGTGGATGGCGATGATGCGGGGGGCCAGGCACCTCTCTTTCCGCCTCCCACTGCGGACACTCAGACACAAACAAATAGCTGGCGTGTGGTTACGGCCCAGGATCCCACAAACCGGTAACCCAATCTGCAGCGTGCGGGCCAAAAACAAGACGCGCATTGGGAGAGAAAACATCCAGGCCACATAGCTCGACACCAGTGCGTGCAAGCGTGGGTTTTTCATGGGGAGCTGGTACACTTTGGGAGTGGATTCCTAAAAAATGGAAAGGCTATAAACATAGCAAACTTGAAGAAATAGATAGATCGGTGAACAATTGAATTTACAGTTATTCTTTTCCAAATGTAGTTGACCAGACCATGTTTGGTGTCTGAAGTCTGTAATAAGCAATGGAGCTAATGTATTTAACAAGTATATCACTAGGTCAGTAAGCTCAATTAGACTTCCTTACCTGGTGTCTGTCACTGTAATAATGGACTATATCTACAATAATAAAGGTATAGTTGGTCCATACTTATGTCCACTTTAGTCATTCTTACAGAGTCAAAAACCACAAAAGGAGGTCTGTCTAAGTTTACCTAACAACTCAACATAGTTTAAGGAAAGTGTGGGATGACTTAGACACGTAGTATGCATGATGCTAACCTGATGGCTACAAGCTGCGCTACCCTCATAGCTAGTGTAAATAAAAGAACCAAACATGTATTGGCTTACCAGTTATTTATGCAGCTAAGGGGAAAAAAGTGCTTAAGTTTGATTTTTAGTCAAACTTTTGCTTCAGTGTAATGATTTGTCTCTCCAAACAAAGATCAGAACTGTCCAGGCAGTGGTCTTTTTTCTGCAGGTCTTTATGGATGCAAAAGCTAGACAACAAGAAATATTGGTGTCTTTGAGCTTGAAGACTTTTGACAGTACTTTGGAAGAAAAAGAAAACAAATGGGTCCTTGATCAAGCCTCAGCTCTCAATCGAAGTCCACATAGCCAAACTGAAGCTCTCATTCTGGACACATTATGAGAAGAACCAATTCATTTGAAAAGACAACTGTGCTCGGAAAAGTAAACCTAAAAAAGGAAGAGGACGACAGCTACAAGATAGATAGATACAATCGGAAAAATCATGAGCAAACTATACAGAAGCCTCGAGATCCAAACAGAAGTCAGGATATTCTGAGAAACACTAACCAAATGGTTGCCAGGAGTCGACTTGACTTAACGGCTCTTAATAATAATACGTTTTCTGGTTACTCTCACAGAGGAAGCTACCAGTAAACTCCACTGAAGGCCCAACATAGTGTGGTGTACATAGAAAAGACATATTGATGGAGGCATATGCTGGGATTAAATAGTAGGTCATATACAGACCATCAAGTAGTATTAATTCCTGAATGGCTCCTCCTTCCGCATGTTAAGCCTGATGAATATCCCCTCCACACACATCCACACAAACACAGCCACCCACTAAGCTACTCGTACTGACATACACATCCGCCTTGACCAGCCCACTACTCTCTCAGTCTACCCATCCATAAAATGACACAAGCAGGCAGCCGCACGCACACACACACACGCGTCCGCATCGGCTCGTAATAAAAGAATGAACAA